AGGCGCTAAATAAGGAGATCAGTAAGGCTAAGGCTAAGAAAACATCGATAGCTGGGTAAGTGGAAATTGATTTATTTTAAACTTGAGTCAACGAAGGATTTCGGTTAAAGTCACATGTATAAATAGAATGCGAATATACCAGTGGGGGCTCCCTTTTAAAAATGATTGGCTGCTCGTCATACCTTTTAGGCGGTCAACATTTGTACATCGGTACCGCTTAGGATGCTAAAATCTAAAATGACCACAGTTAGAATTATCACAGTACCTTTTTAGGGTATCAAGCCACACTCATCAAACAAGATTCTGCTACCTTTTAGGGTGTTTTTTGAAAATTTCCGATGAGCACTCCGTGATTTTGATATGCGAGATGCCCCCCTCCCGGGATGAATGTGCCATAATGTCACCAATGTTCGTTCTTGTGATATTCAAAAACATAAAATATAGCCCGTACGCGATCGACAAGGTTTGTTTTATTTTTTTTTTCAGATGTGATACGCAAGGAAATCGTGAAAGGGATGGACAAAGGTAGGCGGTTTTTCAGCATTACAAACAAAATTAATGTTTGTTCAATGCGACTTTGGCGCTCAAGTTCCGACTGATCTTGTTATATTTCTACCGCACAATTTAACTTTTCTCCTTTAGTTTGAACATTTGTTTTTAAACGCGTGCGTTGACGAAAATGTCTTGAATAAAAAAATCGCGTACAAAAAAATTTAATTCTAATTGATTAAAAAGATTGAGCATTTTATGTAACACAAGATGAAAAAGGTGTAATATGAATTTATACGACAACGAAGAAACGCGAAGGGCCTAATTATTAAACAGCTATCGCCGGCCATCGGACGTATTAGGAAATGACTAAAGATAACCGAAGATTACCGAAGGTATCACATCTTCACGTTTATTTTGAACTTCATGCCTTGACTTATTACGCTTTCGTTGTTTGCATTTTTTTTTTATTTACTGTAGACATGGCACAGTAGACTGTCCGATAACTATTTCAAGTCCAGAAACCAGTCCACCCAAAAAAAAAAGAAGAAGTACCCTGGTATGTAGATTATTTTAGATAGAAAGAAATCATTAGCAAAAACAATCACTTATCCCAAAGCACATGGTATTGAGATGTTCTTTTTCACTTGTACTTTTGCCATGCAATCCTCAGTACCCAATGAACTTTGGAGAAGATTTCATGGTAATACGTGAATCGTCAGGTCAATCCTAATTTTTCCATAAACAAAATGTGTTAAGTGTTACCCTATTATTGAAACGCTTAGACACCATTAATTGTTAATAGTTGGAATGGTCTGTGTGTTTTCACATGGTCTTCCACAGTCCGAATTGTTTCCCTGTTAAAAATGATGTGTCTTGCTTGGCACTTCTTAGCCTGAAACCTCGTGTATGCGCCTTCACATTCTTGTTGTTTTATTTTTAAATTTTCTCGTATTTTGACAAATTATACGCCCAAGTTAATGCTTTGTCATCGTCTTGTTATTCATTATTTAGGACACGCGTTAATGTCGATTCTGCTACCAGAAGACATCTTTTTCGATGCGGATGATGATGAACCACTTGAGGTATAAAATTACATAATTCACATCCGTTTGATGGTATATTGATAACTAGAGCAACAACGAATTTATTTTCCTTATTAAATGAGAGTTGCTTTTCCCTGAATTCTCGTATTGCTTCTATGTACAATTTACTGAATGGGATCGTTACATATGAATCATATATACTTCACCAGGCTCTGTTCTCATAGCCTCTCTCAACCCAGGACTGTAAATTTGGGTACGGGCGAACGTTGACATTACCTGACTCTAATCTGATCTATAGGTCAAATTTCAAGGAAACCACGGTCAACTAATGGAAACTAATGACTCTGAGGATACTTACAGCAGGTTAGTACGTAATAGTATTAATACATGGCAATTACCTGTGAAAATGTTACAGTTAACTGAAAAAAATGCTGTATACTGTTAGATGTAGAGTTCTTTCCGCCGGGTTTCGTCCACATGAAATACAAAAGCAAAACGTATGGTTCACATTCGTAAAGGTCAAGCAAATAAAATTGAGTGTCGCGTCGTTTACCTCTTTCTAAAGGTATGCTGGAGAATTCTACGATGGAGACAGACGAACACCGGTATTTAAATGGTGTTCTTCGCCATTAGCTTCAGAAGAGGCCGTCTTCCGCCTTCTACGCCCTTGCGATGAAAGCTTAGTTGCCACTGCCACTCCCAGGAACGTTGCCCACAACTGCGTATTCATGGTCGATTTAGATCGCTTGCCTCACCAAGAAGATGTGAAATGTGATAATCTAGGTTCTTGGCGAAACAATGGAACCAAGAATCGCGTGTACGAAATAAATGAGGATGGGTACCCTGAACTGGTTGACGAAGAAGAAGCAAGGGAAGCAACAGGCACATATACTCTCAAAAGAGTGTACTACAAAAAACAAGGCAGCTCCCGACCTGAAGAAAAACATCATGACTTTGAAAGGTAATGTTAACTACTTTTCTACCAGCAAATAGTACATTTTACTAGTGTTTTAATGCAAATGCTGCGTTTTGATTGGCTGAGCTACTCGTGCAGCCGTTAGAATAGGAGGACGCGCGAGCGAGTGTATAGGTGTTCGAAATAAGTGAAGATTAAATGCTATTTGGGGAGAAATGGGGACAAATAATTGGAAATGGTTTTTGATAATTTTGTGAGAATTTTTTAATAAATAACTGTATATTTAGCTCTCAATTTATATGCTCATGATCTAATTGTTAAATACAGGTTGCTTTCGACTTAGACAAAGAGAGTGGTGGCAGTGGTACTTTATTTACTCGTTGTTATTTTAGCCATAGTTTTCCTTGATTTTTACTTCCATTTCATCCTGTAGAATATCCCAAGCTGTGCTTAATTCAGTATCTCTTCGATGCGGTGGAGCATAAAATTGATGTACCATGCCATGGAAACGTGAAGAAAGGTGGAAATCCATACACGCGTACTAAGCCAAGTGTTATCGCGAACCTACGTTCCGCAGTAAAAGATCAGAAACCTAAAGCAGCATATCATCAGGTTGAGGAGATGGTCGGTGGTATCATGAACGTAGATTGCCTATCTGACCTGCCAAGGAACAGAGACCAAGCCAGTTATTTAAGGCGAGGCTCGTCAGAAAAAAAAGGACCACGTTGACTCCTTAGTGATATTGCTGGAGCAGTGTAAAAGACAGCAGTTAGCAAACCCCAAAACCGCCTTTGTTCGTGAAGTTTCTTGCGCACCAGAGTTACGCTGCGTCATGTGTTACGACGACCAGCTTGCTGACATAGTGAGGTTTTGTACAAATCCTAGCAGCTTCGGGATCCTAGGCGCTGACCCAACGTTCAACCTTGGGAAGTTTAACGTGACTGTAACCACATATACCAACTTGTTAGTGGTTGATCGTAAAACGCGCAGGCATCCTGTGATGATTGGTCCCCTATTCATGCACCAAACAAAGACGTATGACGCCTATAACTACTTCTTTTCCAAACTGGTTAGCTTAAACAAAGATATTGAAACGTACTGGCCTTCGGTACGGATGGTGAAGAGCCTCTTTTCAAAGCAATGGAACGCAACATGTACCACGGCATCCACTTAAGATGCTTTGGGCATTTCAGGGACAACTGTAAAGAACAGCTGCGCGCCCTCCCACGAGAAGTTCAAAAGGAGTTCCTGGATGACGTGTTTGGACGCAGGCTTGAAAATGGTAGCATGGAAGCTGGTAAGTTAACCCTCGAACGTACAAGGGGGAGGATGATTTCAAGACAATTTTGTTGTTAGTCCGTGCCGTCATTACTAGCTGTTCGTTTATCTGTGAGACACAATCGGTTTATATGGCAACAAGATATGACGTCATAAGCATAAGCAAGCCATATTTAAAAATGCATATTTTTAACCTTTTTTTTTCAGTGAGTTTTACAACTCTAGCCAAAGATATTTTCAATTTCCGATTTTTAGTAAAATCCAAGATAACGTCACGGACCCCCAGCAGCGCCATAACCCTTAATAATTTCCTTATCTTTTTAGATAAAATATTTCCCAAATATAGTAACACTGCAAAAACCCAGGGGAGGGGTTGCAACCACCCCCCCTCTCCCCCTCTTTCCCTTTTCTCCTCCCCTTGTACGGTCCACGGTGGGGTATAAGTTTGCGTGTACTCTTTCACTATATCAGATCCCCTCCCTCTATGAGAAAGGGAAAGAAAGGGCCATGGGAACGAGGTTGCAGGAAAATCCTAAACTTTATTTCGTTTCTCACTGATAAAGGTCTTTTGGATTGCGAGACAGAAGCTGACTTTCAAGCTCAGTTGGTGTCACTAAAGGACGTGGGGATGAGCGAGAAAAGGCCCATCTGCCTGCTGGAAAGCAACCTTCATTTCACAAATATATCTCGGAAAAGGTGACAGCAGTTCATGTACTTAGGAAATGTTTGAATTGCGGGAGTTTAATTTTGGTAATTTGGGTTTCTGGTAACAAATATATCAACTCGATTTATCAAATTTATTCAGAAACCGCAGAGACTCTTCCCTATTTGTTGTAATTGTAATGTTGGTAATGTTTTCAATTCAAATTTAAATTCAGCTTTTATGGCCGGAGTTTATTTTTACGATATCACATTTCGTGAAACGCTGGAAACCCCGCAAAATTCGCGAAAGTTAGATTGCGCGCAAATTTCATGCCACACGGTTTTCTGTGTGGAATATGGAGAATTTATGTCATCGCCATTTGTAATAACATGCGCGGTTCATATAGCAACGGTTTCATTCAATATTCTTATATTTATGCAAGACCTTCATTTTACTGGAGGTGCTATGTAAGTAACAGTTGGCCAATGACACAAATTGCAATTGAAATCGGACATCTGGCCTTTCATTTCTAAACCAGCCAGCTAGAGATCCCTTTGTTATTGCGTTTTCCGGAACTTGGAACTTTTTAACGTAATCACGAGCTTGACTTGTACTTTAAAAAAAAAAAACGTTTTGAAGTACGACAATCCTTGTTTTATGTATAGTTATGGAAAATGTAGAGAATTTACGCCTTATGCTATTAAATTAAAGGACAACATTGTCTCATTTTATTTCAGGAAAAAATGATCCAAGACAACATGTTGCGCCCCATTCGGTTGAATGCAGGCCTAGGAAATCCTCCAGAAGCATATTATAACAACATGCCAGAATCAGCAAATAAAATTATTAAAATGGGAGTAGACTTTCAAAAGAATGAAATGTCACAATTTAACGACAAGATGGAGAAAGTAATTCAGCAGCAGCGACGGGACTGTGAATCAGCCGTAATAAACAGAGGTCCATATGCTCTCACAGACGACTACCTTCACTTACAAATGTCTCCTGACAAGTGGTTTTCCCTGAATGCTCGTCAGCGTGAAAGGCATTTGAAAAAGTTCTGGGAAGAAGTACCTGGAAGAAATGTTGATGTGCAGGATGACAGTGGTAATGTAAACGATGACAAGGAAGAGAACACTTCCCTTACCAGCCCTCCAGAGCTGTCTGTAAGACCAGAGGAGTCAGGTGCAGCTGGTGTAGCTCTTCTTTCCCTAAAAGAGATGTACCGGCAAGCATCCATTCTTCTCCTCAAGAAAGATTCCATTGTGGAAATACCTTTTAAGCCCCATACGTTTATGGTTGAAAGCGACAAGGGAAGGCCACATTATGTTGTACTAGCAGAAAGTGGGAAGGTGACATGCGAGGACTGTCCTCGTTATAAGTCTACAAAAATATGTGCACATTCTTTAGCCGTGGCAGAGAAGTGCGGTAAATTACAGAATTATCTCACTTGGTTTAAGAGAAGCAGCCACACCTTAACTACAACGAGTTACGTCACCTGTGACAGCGCGCCAACAGTTGGCAAAAATCCCAGAGACCTTCAACGTCGCGTAGGAAAGGTGGTAGAGGGCAAGCTGTCAACATTGTGCCTCGACCAAGTGCCAGTGAGCAAGCTCCATCACCCTCCGCAGCGCCGACGCCCTCTCCTGTACTACCTCCCACCGCAGTGCCACCAGCCTACAAAGCGCCTCCACCCTCTCCATCTGCAGCGCCACCACCCTTCGCAGCTCCGCCCTTCGCAGCTCCGCAACCAGTGGTTTCGCAACCGTCAGAGCTGCCCCTGACATTTCCTTTAAGTCCTTCAAATGCGCTTGGGCGGGTTCCATATCCATCCCCACTGCCAGGGCAGTTTATTGTTTATCCCTTAAAGTTCTGCCCACCTCAAGTGAGCATATGTTATGGGTGTTCTAACACCCTTAAACCGGGAGGGCAGATTCCGCTTCCTCCTCATGATCTAGTCGTAGCCTCCAACATGATGCGAAGCTTCCAGCACGGAGGGCAAATGAGGAGCAAGCAAAGCAATGTATATTTTCATTGTAGTGGTGCCTGTATTAGGGCTAAACAGCCATATTTCTCTCATTGTAGCATGCCATGGTTTATACGTTCTTCGCTAACCGATCAACAGCTTGACTTTCTCAGTAAAATGTTTCCAGTTTATGCCCTTCCGTGAATTGTTATGTATTGTACGTATATAGTGCAACACCATTGGCCCGGTTATTTTTCCGATTCTGAAAACGGACGGCTAAATATCTCAATATGTACGAGTAGCGATAGAAATCTGTTGAACATGGATACGTCTTAATAAAGTTTTGTTTGTTTGTTGGACGAAGGTTCTTCTCCTCTGTTGACTAAATATAGTACGCTGCAGCATATTAACATGGTACCAGAGTCTTCGCTTTGTACTTCTTTACCGCCACAGACAAACCTAACATTTTTTTGATTTTGTTTCGCTTGAGAAAAGAGCGATGAAATTGTTGGACTTAAATAAAAATAAAGCAATAGCTCTTGTGTACGTGGCCACTGGTTCCGTTTCGAGTCCTGGTTCCTTTCGTATCAGTGGACAAAAGAATTTTGACAGATAAAAGTGTAAATTAAAGTTACTAAAATTAGGCGAAACCTCGCGACATAGCCCCTTTAAGTCATTCCTCTAAAGAATAACTAAAATAAATAGATAGCTGAATTTAAATGGAATTTGAAGAGGTTTAAAGAAGGATAGAAGAAAGAAAATGATTTTTGGAACACCAACAGTTGATACACACAAGAGCACTCCGGGTTGCTAGTGAATATTTCTTATTTCTCTAAAGTTTACAAAAATTTACATCTTTTTCTCATTATTCAGTCTTTTTTTTTCTCATTATTTATTATTTACGTCTATTTTATTTATTTTTATTTTTTAAAATTATTATTGTCCGCCGTCCGCCGTCCGCCGTCCGCCGTCCGCATCCGCCGTCCGGATCCGCCGTCCGGATCCGCGCTTTACAGAGTCCCGCTAATGCTAGTCGAATCGTTTACATTTCCTGGTTAAACAAAATCTCTTCGAAAGGTCAAATTGGGTCAACTTGCACGGGGCCGCTCGCCTCAGAAATAACTTTTGCCAAGAAAAAAATTATATCACGTTCAAAAACAGCTCT